GTTTATCATCACCTGAAAGTTGAGGGTTGCTATCCAACTAGTTTGTTTCCCTTCAGAAAAATTACAGTTTTGACTCTAAATGCAACCTATTTTTTCAGCTTGATGTTTCAGTCTATCAAACTCATATCTGCAAGAATGTAATGAACTTTGTAGGCTTCTTTCTTATTCCAAAAATTATTAATACGTATTCACTGTGATTTTTTTGGAAAACCCATATATATAAACAAAAAGAAGAAACTAAAAATTGCTGGTTAATTTATCGTCCTGACCTTATTATTCTTAATATTTTGGTATAAAAATAAATATTTATATAAGTAAATCCATCTCCACTTCTTTCTATGCATAACAATATTTCTTCCTAATTATTGGATTGTATTCACTATTTTATAACCTTGTTTTTTCACCTAATAATATGTTTATGACTCCTTTTCCATGTTAAATATCTTTCCACAGCACATTAAAAGACTGAGTTTCATCATTTATTTGTTCAATCTACCTTTATTTATTCAATCACATGAACCTGGATATTTGTTTCTAATTTTTTTTTATTTTTGCGGTGCGCGGGCCTCTCACTGCTGTGGCCTCTCCCGTTGCGGAGCACAGGCTCTGGACACACAGGCTCAGCGGCCATGGCTCACGGTCCCAGCCGCTCTGCGGCACGTGGGATCCTCCCGGACCGGGGCACGAACCCGTGTCCCCTGCATCGGCAGGCGGACTCTCAACCACTGCGCCACCAGGGAAGCCCTCTAATTTTTTTCATATTATAAATAAGACTGCATAGACTCTCCTTGAACTTACATTTTTGTGTATATTCATGATGAGTTCTTTAGAGATTATTCCTAGAAGTAGAATTGTGTAAAAGATTAAGCATTTTTTTTAAAGTTTTGGTACCCGTATTAGTTTGCTCAGGCTACCATAACAAAATACCACAGACTGGGTGGCTTAAGCAACAGAACATTCTGGAGGTCAGAGGTCCATCACCAAGGTGCCAGCAAATGTGGTTTCTGATGAGAGCTCTTCCTGGCTTTTAGATAGCTGACTTCTCCCTGTGTCTTCACATGGCCTTTCCAGTTCTGTTGTCTCTTCCTCTTATTGTAAAGACACCAGCTTTATTGGATTGGACCCCACACTTATGACCTCATTTAACCTTAATTACCTCCTTATAGGCCCGTCTCCAAATACAGACACACTTGCGGGGTGGGGGGAAGGTGAGGGCTTCAACAGGAGACACAATTTACTCCATAGCAATGTTTTTCTCTTTCAGAAAGATTGTACAAATTTATACTCCCACTTGCAGTGCTTGAGAGTACCTACCCGGCACTCCCACCAGGAGTTTAACATTTACAAATCTATATTATATTTTGAAAATGGACTTTGCAAACCTCCAGAGTTGGATAAATGTTCATAACTGTACAAACAGGAGGCTCAACTAAGGCACTTAGGTCAGGACACACATTTTGATATGAAAAATGATTTTCAGACTCTCAGGTGCATTTCCTATAACACCTACAAACCTTGGTGCATCTTTGGGCCAAGAGGCACCCAGATCTCATAACTCAACAAATCTTCCATGTGCATCTGCATACTTTGCTAAATCCTTGATGGAAGCAGTGCCTTAGTGCCAGGTTTAGAAAAGACGGGAATGAACTGCTGAGAAGGAACTGGAAAGTTTTCTGGTAGATGAATTAGGTGCAATATTGAAAGAATGTGAAGGGAGGGGTCATCTTGAGTCACGGGATTGAGAAGAATTCTTTGATATTGAGTTCCATAGCCTTAGGGTACTTATTTGATCACAGCTGCTTTTCCAATCTAGTGGCAGTGAGCCTTAAGGAGCCCTTTTTTCACTGGACCAGGGAAATGATGACCCCTTTCTCTGTGTGTATCTCCTAGCCAGACAGGAATAGGCCATATATTCCCAACTTTCAGACAAGAAGAAGACATGACACATTTTTGTGTATGTTGAAGTCCTGCAGACTCAACTGCTTACAAGAGAGGAGAAAGTGCAGCTGTGCTCTAGTCTCTGCTTTCTCTTCATTTCTGGGTACAGTGATTTCAGACGTCTTTGCCAACAGAGCCCAGGTGGAAATGGCAGAGCAAAAAGTACTTGGAATTTAGTGGATCATTTATATGTAAGAAAAGCTTTACTGTTTTTATTTTTTATGCCCATTTTAACAAATTCAAATGCAGACAAGTGTAAAGCACAAAGTGAAATCATCTAGTCACTTATTACTGAGAGAGCCATTGTCATTCTTATACATCTATAAATATGACAATGGTTTTTTTTTTTTTTGCGTTCCGCGGTTCTCTCACTGTTGTGGCCTCTCCCGTTGCGGAGCACAGGCTCCGGACGCGCAGGCTCAGCGGCCATGGCTCACGGGCCCAGCCGCTCCGCGGCATGTGGGATCTTCCCGGACCGGGGCACGAACCCGTGTCCCCTGCATCGGCAGGCGGACTCTCAACCACTGCGCCACCAGGGGAGCCCTAAAAATGATTTTATGTAAACAAGCTTCTACATGTATTCTGTGACCTATTTTGCTCAGCCGTAAGCCTGAAATCTTTTCAAGTCAGTAAACATGGGGGATCACCATCATTATTAATGATTGCACAGTATTACCCTGAATGTATATATATCATAATTCACGTACCAGTTTCCAATTTGTGAAGCTATGTAAGCAGTGCTGAGATAAACGCCCTTGTGCATATCTTTCAATACTTTTAGTTGTCTCTTTTTAAGTCTTCTGTCATGTACAGACAGTTCTGGGTGTGCTCTGAAGCTTTTGCAAAAACGTTCCTATAAAAGGGTTTCATCTTCAAGGAATTCATGGAAAAGACTCTGACAAGTACAGGTTTCTGGTAACTGACTATACTGCTGAACTGAATGAAGAAGCATGTTCAGAACTCCAATGGAAAACTGATGAATTCATAAAAGTGCTAACAAAAGATCAAGATGAAAAAGAATTAACTACACGGGACTGAGTGAACTGATGAGGGTGATTACAATTTTTGTGACCTTCTGTTTGAATAAAAAATAAAAAAGATATACCCTCAGACACACTATTGTTAATGTATTAAAAAGTCAAAGGCAAAGACAAAATCCTGAAAGCATCAAAAGAAAAACAAGTCATTATGTATATGGGGGTCCCAGTAAGAAATGAGATGACTTATTATCAGAAACAAGAGATTCCAGGAAGTAGTGGGACAAAATATTCAAAGTGATGAAAGTAAAAAATAAAACAAAAAACTGTCAAAAAAATTAAAATAAAATAAATTTTAAAAAACCAAAGTAGTTGTCTCTACCCTTCTGTAGAACACAATGACCTTGAACACAATGACCTTGAAATGCTATAATTTTGATCACCCACCCCCATCCTGTCCCCTTTATCACCTGACATTGTGTTCAGAATTTGGGGCCTATCTTGTTATTTTTGTTATTGTTTTACTTTAATTATTTTAATTGAAAAATTTCAAGCACACAGAAAAGTAAAAATATAATTCAAAGAACACCCGTATACATCTCACCTAATTTGATCAATTTTTACTATATTCTCTCTCTACTTTCTGTCTCTCCCTCTCTCTCTTTCCCTTGGAGATATTTCTCAGCTATGCATTTAAAGGAATATTGATTCTATTTTATTCAAAATTTCTAGATATTACACAGCAAGAAGTTTTTCGTTATCCGGTTGTCTGAACTGCCAGAAATGGAAGTCCTGTATTTTATCAGTTTGTATTTTGCTTTTTTCACAGAACGCTACATAATGTTTTCATGGTTCCACAGAAATAATTGGCTGCAAATTTATTCTTTACAGTGATCTGAAAAATAATTTTAAATAATTGAAAATTATCCTTTTAAATCATTGTATTCAAATTTTTCCACATGTGACTTGTGTGGTAATACTGTCCTTCAATATTTTACATGTCTATTTATGCTCTCCCTCTATATTTCATTTTATTTTCATAAAAAATGCTGCCCTCTGACCTACATTTTGCTTAATTTTAAAACGAAATCTAGAGTATGTTGAACGGGGAGAAAATAAACAAACGCCGGCTGCACCGTGCTGTACTTCTCAGACGTGGAAAGGATGCAAGAAGCATCCCAGACAGAGGAACTTGCATATGCAAAAGCCCCGTGAAAGAAAGAAGGCACATTTCCTAGGAACAGAAAGATGGCTACTGTATTAGAGCATAACGGATGAAGAGTATGAGATTAGGCTGAAGCGGTAGTTGGGAGTGACCCTCAGGACCTTGAAAATGATGCTCACAATTTAACTGTGTCTTTTAAGAGAAATGCTAAGCTACTAGGCGTTTTAATTACACTTGTATTTGAAAAGATGTCTCTGAATGTAGTGGGAAGAAGAGTCTGGAAGCCACAAGAGTAGGTACGGGAAGACCAGTAGAGGTTACTGCAATAGTCCTAGCAAGAAATAATGGCGTGGAGTGGAGTGCTGGCAGTAGTGATGGAGAGAAGTAAAAGAGAAAGAGAAGAGTTAGGAAATGGATCTTGCTAAAGTGATGAGCGAAACATTTTCGAGGGTTCACTTGGTCTTCTAACTGATGGAAAGTCAGCTGACAGATAGCAATTTCCCTGCTGTGGAAGCCAAGGAGATTCCATACTTAGATCTCTTTTCAGGGAAGAACATCCTGTTCAGCTGCAAGGAATTATCCACCTCAGCTGTCTGGCTTACGCCACGGTCCTCCCGGGCAGCCGCATCCCATGACTGTGCACGGCAGGGCAACCGAGTCTGATCATTTCTGCCCAAAGCTGAGCTCCTCTAACAGGCAATCTGCTCTGGATGGTCGGCTGACACTTTATCAGATCTGTGTCGGCCTGAGGCTCTCTCTGCCCCATCCTGCTTCCTCCTCCGTTTCCTTTTACAAGCGTCAGATCTGCATCATGATCTGAAGGCTCTCTCTGCCCAATCCTGTATCCTTTTCCTTTATCTTTCATAGGTTTTATTCACCAATAAATCTCCTAACTCTGTCTCATTATCTGCTTTCCTTAGGACCTACTGACGCACCTGACAAGTAATGAGGTTAGGCATATCTGATGAAGGATATCTGATCAACTATGACATTATCTCCACAAAGGCCATAACTGCTAGGCGGTAATTCACTAAGTGTCTGCTGAAGTTTCTTAGAGTGTTAAGCAACTAGACTCGCCCATGCTTCCAAGGAGTCCTGCATTTTTTTGGAGTAGCTGTTTGGAGATGCAGAATTCAGAGAAGAGTACAGAAGAAAGGTACAAGCCTAATCTTCTCTCAGACAGAAGGAAAGACTCTACAAAGAACTAACTTAGGGGCTTCCCTGGTGGCACAGTGGTTAAGAATCCGCCTGCCAATGCAGGGGACATGGGTTCCAGTCCCGGTGGGGGAAAATCCCACGTGCCGCGGAGCAGCTAAGCCCGTGCATCACAGCTACTGAGCCTGCGCTCTAGAGCCTGCGAGCCACAACTACTGAGAATGCACGCCACAACTACTGAAGCCCATGCGCCTAGAGCCCGTGCTCTGCAACGAGAGAAGCCACCGCAGTGAGAAGCCCGCGCACCGCAACCAAGAGTAGCCCCCGCTCGCTGCAACTAGAGAAAGCCCACGCGCAGCAACAAAGACCCAACGCAGCCAAAAATAAATAAATAAATAAAATAAGTTTTAAAAATAAATAAATAAATCAAAAGAACTAGGCTAGGCTTGATATAGTTCACTGTGAATTGTGTAATCAATTTGTTTACCACCCATGATATTGTTTAACAGCACGTATATAACGCAAACTTTGGAAAATGTACTTTTGAACTGCACTGTAAGAGCCCTAGCGCCAGAATTCACACCTATATAGGAGGGTGGATTTTCCTCTGACAAACTATGTTCCCACTGTTGCTCAACTTGGGGGAAAGTCGGTTCAGGCGCAGAAGAAGCTGAGGACTTAGGAGAAGTGGGCTGTGGCGCAGAGGAGAGAAGGTCTTCCTCTTCTCTCTGAGACTCAGCAGGGGCAGGCGGATTGTTGAGTCTGGGTTTCTGAGGCAGAGGCGCGAGACTGGAGTGATGGAGCAAGTCTCGGGGTGACAGAGCGAGCTGTCTGAGATCAATTACAGTAGCCAGGCATGGAGCTGACCTGACCAGAGACCCCAGGGCAGATCCGGCATTTTCTGTGTTGCACTCCTTCCTTGAGCCTCCGGTAAAACCATGACTTAAACTGTGTTATGGAGAATTAGTTAAAAGTTGGGCCCGCACTGGGGAGTTCCCTGGTGGCCTAGTGGTTAGGATTCTAGGCTTTCACTGCCATGGCCCGGGTTCAATCCCTGGTCAGGGAACTGAGATCCCGTAAGCTGCCTGGCAACAACAACAAAAAAAATTTGGGTCAACATTTGGGCAAACCTATGAAAGAAGCTCAATGCCCAGGCTGTGTGCCCCTGTGAACTTCATCCACCACGCATGTCAGAATTGATGGGACCCAATGAATGATAGCTCTGTTTCCTGCGCAAATGTGGAACCAAGAGAGAAAGAGAGCAAAATCTCACCTCTGTTGCCATTATATATAGATTAGGTATATTGGCCAAGTGGCTTACCTAATAGCTCACCCTTAAATTGAACTTACCTACCTCCTCATAGATAGTGCTGGACAACCACATGGAAAGGCAGAGCAGACAGTGTGCACCCTGTGAGCAGGCAAAACTCAAAGAAAAGAAGGAGGAAGAGCTTGACCATGTTCAGCTTCTTCTCCCAAACTCGCCATTCAAATACCTCACTCCTCCCCTAGGGACCAGGCAGTGAACGGGGCTGAGAAAGGCCAGGTGTGTTAGACATGAAGTCAGAGCAAAGGAGGGTTCCCATTCCCCAAAACAGTATGAAACAGTGAACGTCAAGGCTAATCATTATAAGAATCTTGATGATAACATCATAACTGATGACTTGCTAACATGAAGGCCAGAGAAATAAGTACATAAAAGTTTATGAATTATGATTGCCTTTATTTCGTACTCATCGATAGAACACCCAGACACGCAGTGATAATTAAAATCATCTATCTTTAATATTTTGCCAATTTTTAGTCATAGTAGAAGACATAGCTTTAAATAGACTTACACATTTCCATTTTATTACTCTGAAGGTGTATTCCTCAAGGTTAGAGGATGGAATAGGTCTTATTACACAATTTGTCCACTTGATTGACAATCTGTATCTCTGTGGACATGTGGTATGTGGGCCTCCACTTGAATTCTCGTACTACTTTCCTGACTTAGCCTCAGTACTGACTTATCCTCAGTAACTTTCAGCCCCGTTGCAGCAAGAAATGCAGGGAGGGAGCCTGTCCTGGTGAGTTTACCATGTGGGAGTGCTTTGGGACTGACAGGGCTGTTAGAGGAGCAGACTTATTCCCAGCTTTTGTGGCAAAACAAACAACATGTGCGACATGGAACTTGGCCAGTCGCATGTGTCAGAACTGAGGGAGTATAGCATCTCCACACCCTACGATATCCAAGGAGTTCTCATCTAGCAGGCAGGACATGTCAACAGGCATCTCCTAGTGAGGGATGTTATTCCGAGTGAGGTGAATGGCAGTGTTGGGTGATTCTTCTAGGCTCCAGCAGGACCTCAGATAAGCTATGGGGGATGGAGGCCCAGTCTAATCGCTTGGAAAGAAAAATGGCAAAGCCTAAGCATCTTACAAGTATCCACATCCAATGTTAGTAGTCAGGAAAAATTTTACTTCCGGCAGAGGGTCCTGGTGTCTAAAGCAGACACTGCAGGAAAAGTTTCGACGCCCACACCCTAGGCAAACATAGCAGGTGATTAGGAAGGGTGCAGCTTAGAGGGTAGTACTAGGGTTCCAGAGCTCACCCAGGAAGTGCAGAAGTGACAGCAATGTAGGGCTGATAACAGTAGAATTAATCTCAGACACGATCTGTGTGTGAAAACGGGCTCTAGATATATTGCCTGCCTTGATCAGGATTGTCTCCAAAACTGAGAAGTCCATGGTTTTCCGGGTGCTGGACCCGGAAAAGCAAGGGCTGTGAAGCATCAACAGTTGGCCATAGGGGAGCCATTTTTTACTGCAAAGTCTTTGAGCATCCATCGCATACAACATGCCAATTACTCATTCCCCCAAAACATTAGTTCTGAGCAGAAACAAATAAATTCTGGTTAATATTTTTAATTTTTTTTAAAGTATTTATTTGACTGCATCAGGTCTTACTTGTGGCATGCGGGATTTTTCGTTGCGGTGCTTGGGCTTCTCTCTAGTTGTGGCACACAGGCTCCAGAGCACGCAGGCTCAGTAGTTGCAGGGTGCAGTCTCTCTAGTTATGGCGCACGGGCTCTAGGGTGCGTGGGCTTAGCTGCCTCACGGCCTGTGGGATTTTAGCTCCCCGGCCAGGGATCGAACCCTCATCCCCTGCATTGGAAGGCTGATTCTTAACCACTGGACCACCAGGGAAGTCCCCTGGTTAATATTTTTTAAATACTGTGGTTGGAGGGATAGAAGTAGGGGACTGATGGGAAGACTTCGGCAATAGTCTTTGTCATGAACTGAAAAGGCAGTACTGGAGAAGGAAGGAAGTGGGATGACTTCCTTCCTTACGAGAAGGGAAAGATGAGCAGAGGAGAAAGATGAGAAAATCACCAAGGCAACGTCATTGGGAGGAAGGGTGGGATAACAGCAGAGCACAGGGAAGGGCTGGCTTGGGCATTTATTGTGGTAGGAACGAAGGCAGAAAACATGGAACGGAGGATGCATAAGATTTATTCAACTCCTACTGTGTGCCAGGACGTTCTAAGGAGTTCCACGCATCTTAATTCATTCAGTTCTCACAACAAGCCCATGAGGCAGGTATGATTATCATCCTTATCTTACAGAAGAAAAAGAAACTCAGCCACTGAGCCGGTAACTTGCCCCAGGTCCCATAACTAGGAAGCGGCAGACCTGAGATTTGAACTTGGGCAATTGGGCACCACAGTTTGAACTCTTGATACAATACTAAATCCCTCCACATGGGGAGGCTGGTAGATTTGATGGCGGGAAGAACTGCGGGGAATGATAAATTATGCCTCCCAGGAAATTTGCTTTATAAGAGGTCCCTAATAAACAAAAAGGAGATATCTCTCACATGAAATCCCCAAAGGTAATGCCTCTCATTTAGGAGCGTTTGAAGAATCTGAGATGTGTTCTGACTAGCAACAAACACAATATCCTTTTTTCATCCTGGCCACTAGAGGGGAGAGTGGAATGTCAAAAAATTTAGATATCTTGCAGGGGTTCTCAATGGCTGATAAATGCTGTTAGTTCTTTCCCTAACATTGGTGGTACATAAAACTTCTTTGTATTTTTTTACTTGAGAGAGATCATTTTCAAACAAAACTCATTAAGTATTCATAAACGTTTGTCTTCACTTTCTGAAAATAAATGTATTATGCTAAGTGAAAGAAAGTAGACACAAGAGACCACATATTGTATGGTTCTATTTATATAAAATGTCCAGAAAAGGCAAAGCTCTAGACAGAGAGTAGATTAGTATATATTTCCCTGGGTTGGGGCTCAGAGGAACAGGGGTTGACAGTAAATGTGTGTGAACCATCTTACTGAGTGATGCAAACGTTTTAAAATGCATGTATTGGGACTTCCCTGGTGGTCCAGTGGTTAAGACTCTGCGCTTCCACTGCAGGGGGCGCGGGTTCGATCCCCGGTTGGGGAACTAAGATCCCGCGTGCCACGAGGTTGAGGCCAAAAATTAAAAAACAAACAAAGAAACCAAAATCCCACAAAATGCATATATGGTGATAGTTGCACATGTAAAATAGTAAAATAATTGTATTAAGAATCATTGAATTGTACATTTGAGTGAAAAATGTGATATGTAAAATATACCTCAACAAAGTGGTTGAAAAAAAAAGTAACATTTTGTAAATTAAACCCCCTCCAAAACACTGTGCATTCAAAAAGACTGAAAATATAAGTTTACATATGCACAGAAATATCTAGGAGGATAGCCACTGTTTAGTGATTAACACTAAGAAATTCTATTGTGGGAGAAAACTGGAAACTTTTTAATACTCTATGTTTTTCTGTATTTTGGGGGGAAATAATTGACTTAAAAATTATTTTAAAACGTTTTTGAGAGATAAGAAGTTACAATGGGGCTTCCCTGGTGGCACAGTGGTTGGGAATCCGCCTGCCAATGCAGGGGACATGGGTTCGATCCCTGGTCCGGGAAGATCCCCACATGCCATGGAGCAACTAAGCCTGTGAGCCACAACTGCTGAGCCTGTGCTCTAGAGCCCGCGAGCCACAACTACTGAGCCCACGTGGTACAACTACTGAAGCCCATGTGCCTAGAGCCCTGCTCCGCAACAAGAGAAGCCACCG